CGGGGCGTAGGCGTGCTAGGCCGCCGATGAGGGCGCTCACGGTGCTCCGGCCCACAACGCGTCTAGGGAGGCGGGGGGGGGGGGGGGGGGGGGAGTGGGCAGGCAGGCAGCTGGCAACTGGCCCCATTTGGCTGGCTGCCCACCCTGCCACCCACACCCCCAAGGGCCATTGGTTTCAGTCACAATCCCATTTAGGCTCACCTCCTAAGGTTCAGCTCAGCCCTCGGGGGTGCAGAACCGGGACCAGAAGGGCCAGTTGCTGGGGGGGGCGCCACCCCTTCCTCCCAAAAGGACCTGGCCAGGAGCAGGGCCAGCATTTGCAATGCCAGGCCTGGCTGGCAGCCTCAGGGAGACCCCCTTCTGGTCCTTGGGGGCCAAGTGGTCGGAGACTCAGCCCGGGTGCCCTTGAGCCATCCCTCTGGGGCCAGCAAGAAAAGCAGGCGGGCAGCTACTCAGCACCTTTTTGTAACTGCGCCACTGTGTGCAGCCTCTGGGGAGGGGACAGGCAATGGGGCCCCTGGCCTGCTGTAGGTAAGAGAGCTCACGGGGAGAGGCTGAGTGCCAAGCCTGCAGGGCAGGGAAGCCCACGTACTCCATGGCGAGCTCAGAGGGCCGTTCCAGCAGCAAGGGAAACAAAGATGTGAACCCCCCCTCGAAGTCAGGAAGCATCAGCACGTGCTCCCCATATAGCCTCCCAAGTCCTAAATGGGGCATGCCTTCTGAGCTCAGATGTGGAGAGGGGCTTCCAGGATGGTCTCTCTGTCTGGGGTGCCCCCGGGCCCCCTCTCCTGTTCCCAGACTCAGGAAGTGGAGCCAAGGGCCAGAACGCGATGGGCAATGGGCCAAGCTGAGCTGGGAGGGCCCTCTGGGGCTTGTTCCGTGGGGAGGAAAGGAGGGCGCTGGAAGTCCAGGCTGCCAGGGGTCAAGAATGACTCAGGCAGCCCTAAGAGGATGGTGACTAAGCAGCTGCGTTTAGCTCCAAGCTGCCCCCAGCCAGCTTCCGCAGACAGGCTGTGCAATGCCTGCCAGCAGGGCCTGGTCCCCGTTGCCATCTTCTGCGCAGAGGCCCCACCCCGGGCAGGGGGGCCTGGGCGTGGCCCTCCGAGCAGCCTGGGAAACAAACCCCAGCAGGGGAAAACTGGGAACCCCTCTTCGGGCTGGGGAGGAGGGTGGAGCGAGCAGGGCCCTGGGCTCTTCCCTCCTCCTTCAGGACGCTTCCCCGCTGGGGCTTTCCAAGCCACGTTCTCCCCTTCCTTGCAGGAAGGCCAGTCCTGCTGCCAGTCAGGCGGATGATCCAGTCACGTTAGAATGCAGATCACCAGCCTCCCCTCCCGCCTCCCTCTGTTTATTTGAAGCCCCCGCAGGTGGGAAACTTTCCAGAAGCATTGGCAGCATCCTGCAGGACACCCTAAATTTAGACTCTCCGACAAGACCCCTGGAAGGCGGCCGAGCAGCTCTGAGGCTTTTAAAGGCTCCGCAGCTGCTCGGGTGGCTCTGTCGGGTGAGACTCGCTGGGAACAACTTTCGGGGGGGGAGCAACAAACGCTCCCTGTT